AACTATAACACTTAAATCATCCAAGTTTTTCTTTATGAAAAATTTCCCAAGTAAACAAATATGTTTGTTGATTGATATTATAATTAAATTAAATGTTAATAATATAAAATAATTTATTTTCGCGAAACATCAAAATTTTTTTTTTTTTGTAAAATTACAAAGTTAAAAAATGAGGAAAAGAACTAAACAATAAAACCATTTATTTCGAGCAAGATTAACAAAAAACAGAGGCCTGAAAGTAAAGAAGTCGAATCCAATATTTATGATTAATTAATTTGACAACAATTTTGCAATCAATGTGAATAATTTAGAAAATTGTTTGGAGTCCATTGAAGATGAATTGGAAAATGATCCAGGTAAGTTAGAAGATGACCAATAGTGACAATACTACTCCTAAGCCAAGACATCAATATAAAAGGCAAAAATTCTGATTCTACCACCACCACTGCTAATGATTGCAATGTTACTTCTAGTAATTAAAGCAATAACAATTATAAAATATCAGGAGAATCAAACATGATGTATAATTCAGTTGAAATGATGGAATCATCTTTAAATTGTGATCATAATGGTAATATTATCACTTTTTCTTTGGATGTTGATAATAATGATGAGGATGGAGAAAGAGTTGTAATAGTTACCACTGAAAAAGGTAAAAAAACATGGGTAAATAGATTATTTATATTTATTATTTGTAATTATTAATTCCTTATTGTTATTAGTTATTAAGAAGGGAAAATGGACACCACTACAGAGAAAACGTTTGCTTGAATCAATTATAGATAGTTACTTGAAAAATGTGAATTGGGACGATGTCGCAGATCAAGTCAAAGAGAAAACTGCTAGAATGTGTTATGATCAATGGAAAAAGGTTCTTGTACCTAGCATAAAAAAATATGTCGAAGAAAAAGAAAAAGTTACTACTGAACAGCAACAATAGACTATGTGGGAATATATGATAAAAATTATTATTGTTAATAAATAAATGAAATTTCACATATAGAACTTCATGTCTTAAAAAAAATCATAATTTTATGTACTTAAAATTCTTTTAAAATCAGATTCTGATTCAATATTATTTCTTTGCATTGGTTCATCTGTAATGTTTTCTTTAGGTATAAATATACTATAATTCTTGTGATCTGCTTTATTGTCATCTTAAATATCATATTTTTTCTACAATTATGTTAATATGCTTTTTACATATACAAAAGATGGTCGAGTTTTTCGTTCATGTTGCCAAGCTATATCATACATTGTATATTGTATTATATATAAAATATATGTGAATTATGAATAATAAATAAATAAATGAATATAAATGTACTCAATTATACCTTTTTTAATAATTTCAATTAATCCATGTTGAATTTCTCTGTCTTTTACCCCAATCTTTAAAACTTCTCGTTTACCAGACAACACATAATCATTAATATCATTCACTTTAAATTCTTTATATGGTATTTTCTGATAAACAAGTTCCCAAAGTAACATCCCATAACTAAATAAATATTATTAGTGTTAAGTAAATTTCTATTAATT